TGACTAAATTGCTCCGTCGCATCATTCATGGCGTCACCGAAGTTGGCCGGCTGACATCTTCTAGCTTGACATAAAGTCAAAAGGAGATAGCGGAAGTGCAAAATAGTCCCTCCAAGTCGAACAGCGTCAGATTCTGTAGTGATCTTGGTGGAAGTTCATTTCGGGAGTTTGGGAAGAGAGCGGCTGCAGACAAAAGACAGAAGGCTTTGGTAAGACAACGCTTGTGTGTATATATCGAGCCCTTGCATTCATTCGGGGTATTTCAGGAAAATTGCATCTGCATTTATTTTTAGCTCGTTCGTGTACAATCCAATTTGGTCATAATTAGAATCAGAACATGTCCGGCCTTCTGGGAAAAGTGTTGCAAAATACTTCCCTCGAAACTTCCTTCTCTGGTGCAATCTCTCTCCCCATCCCTCGACTGTCACCTTCCTTATCTAAATTCTGTCCAAATTCCAATAACTTTTTCGAAGAAATTATCCTAGTTTTCCCCTAGGAAACTACCGTCGAGGGGAGTTAGGGGTTTTAGCGTGTCACGAGAAAAAGCAAGAAAACTCAACAATCAAAAACACTTCCCTCCAAAGCGGGAGCGACTCCCCTTCATCGACCATATATGACCCTGTCCCTTTGGAGATCCTCAACGGCACTACCCACATGACTTGACTAGACTAATTTCCGAATGTGAGTCCTTTATCCTCACTAATCATGGCAAAATGGAAATGCATAACTTCGAGCCACTGAAAAATGCTGCTGAAATCTTCCACCCCAGAAAGGAAAAGCGGAGCGGTCCAGACACGAACTGAAGAGACGTTCATTCCTTTTCCCCTCCAAACTCCAAGTTCACTCAGTTTGCCCAGCAAACGTGCTCTTTAGGAAGAAAGACAGAACGTCATTCAAGCGCAACCATTTTTCCATGTCAATTATTGCCGCAATGGACATTCGACGAACCACTTAGAATGCGAAAAATGAGGAAAACTTTCCGTAATTTACCGACTTCTGGGGCCATTATGACCTTAGAGCAGGTCAATTTGATTGAGAAGTTTATGAGACGTTTTGTTATAAATGTAAATATGAAGGCTGAAAAAAGTATTATTTTACTGCTTCGCTCATTTCTCTGACGCCAATGCCTCTTCTGCACCTCCCATCTCAGCGTCTAAGGAACGCGCATGGTAGTACATGGCTCTAATGAACTGTTTCGTCACCAGAGAATTCAATCCCCGTTTGTTGCACTTTTAGACTTTTTTAGTGAGTATGAAGCTCAGCTCAGGATCGAATTTCAAAGACCTTGTCTAAAAACAAAATGAGGGATTATGGAAAAACAAGGACCACAAGATCTATTACTGATTCAAGCTAACGTATGTGATTCATTCCAAGGCATCTCTGTGACTGTCACATGTCTATTTCGTAAAACCATAGAATCGTGCAGAGTTTGTTGCCAGTAGCGAAGAGAATAATAAATAATATAAATTTCAAGCCGCAGTTCGGCTTATGAAGCGGTGGGAGCATTGTTGCTTTTTGTTTTTCGCGCATCGAACAGTGCCAAACCCAATCTAGAGAGCTATTTGCATAGGCTTTTTAATTAAGTTGACAGGATTTTACCGCTGGTGCGAGACGAAATTGCTCCAGCTTCACACAGATTCAGCACGGTTTTCACCAGAGTGAGACATGAAAAGACCTCGGAACTGGTGAAGCAGCGAAAGGGCCAATTGTGCCCCCTCTCCGCCCTCTCGTCGCCAAACTATCGAATGTCCCAAATAAAAAATAAACAACTAAATAGGAATTGAATAGAAAGTAACTTACTGTAATCTTTGACTAGATTCACTGCCGTCAACGGTAGCCAACAGCAGATGAACGTTGCCACCATGCCAATCAGGATGTAGTTGACCTGAAATTTGGAACCCATGAGTCAAAGGATGGACGTTAGTGCCATTGGAGATTTCTATCAGATTACGCCGTTAAACGGGTGTGGATCTAAGAATATCGACACAATCAATAAATGATTGATGCCATCGACGGATTCATCGCCGGCCTCATTCGCCTCAGCCTCATTCGCTGCTGATGCTGGGGCGTGTCAAGGGGCTGAGCTTGGACGGCGTCAACCCTCTTGATCAAATGCTGAAGCGAGCGGGTGACAGAAAAAGTAGGAAAGTGCTGAAAACGCTGAACCCATTTCTCCCCCTCCCCCTCTTCCTGACAAGTCCAGCATGCGCATAAACAAGACTGTATGTAAACTGTTTAGCCCTGGGTTAGAGGGCTAACAAAAGGCTTGCGATATTCTCTGAATCTCTATCTCTGATGTAAGGGTAGGCGTGGGTACGTGCTTCATTTCGAACGTGGCGATGGCTGCGCTTTCGGTGGGCATTTTCATTTTGGGACGATTGTAAACATGTCTTTGTCCAACATAAGACAAAATGATAGCTTTCTCATGAAAGATCCTACGAATAACCAATCCTACCCCACACATGAATGACGCACGCGACCACACCTATCTCTCATGTGGAGTGTATCCCGGAAATGCAGGCTGTTTAATGATTCAATATGATTAAATTAATAATTGCTCAAAGTACTCAAGAACTTGTACAAACCTTCTTTTTCCGACTAATTGCGTCCACTCGTTGTTTTTGTGAGAGAGACGCTGAGAACTGCACATTTTGTATGATCATATCTTGTGAAACTTTCCGTAATATACGGAAATAGCAGTAAGTGATGATGGACATCGGAATGACGAACTGAAACAGGAAGTAAAAGCATTTGTCGAATGATTCAAAGGCACATTTCACGATTGACCAAGTCCATGAACTTATCCTGCAAATGGGGGGGCAAAAAAAAACACTTTGGCCGAGTCACATATCAGTAAAGTTTACGCAGCCCAGATAGAAGACGTGGATACGAGTACCAGGGCGGAAGATACCCAAGATGTTCCTCGATAAGCAGGAGCAGGCTCTCGCCCATCACCTTCATGTACACCAAAATATGAAGTCATCTCCAATCGCAGCCTGACTGGAGAAGGCGTCACCTCCAAACAGCTGCGAAACTTCTGTATGGAGTCACCCATGGACAGCTACCTGGGACCGGCACTCTTGATCTGGAAGACCTCCAACATCGAGCAGCTCCGACAACGTCGCTACGGTCCAGGATATCATCTTCACCGCAGTCGCCAAGGCGCGGGTTGATGGTATGGACCGGAAGTACCTGGAATGGGAAGACCGATATTTTCTTCGTGGACCCCGGACTGAAAGTGAGCGCTGACGGTTACATCGACCAACTCGTGGAGAATATCCTGCCTTCATGTCATCGCCTGTACCTTCTTGGAAACTTCGTACTGCTACAGGATTGGGTGCCAGCAGGAAACGAAGAGTGTTGGAAAAACTCTCCCTACTCGGAATCGGAGGATTTTGAATGTCGAACGATGCCCCCCTTTTTTTTCCCCTGTACCTGCTGCTGTTGGTGTTGCGCAGCGGGTTCGGCTAGGTTTTGTGCTGGTTAGGCTGTGGCGGAGCGTGCGACAGGGCGGGCTGGATTCCAGTAAAGGCATCCGTGCAACTTCCCTCCAGCCCCATCCCCGTGCACTTTTCTGCGCAGAAGAAGGCACTTTACCTGCATCTGCGGACCCGTTCACCTCGCATATGGTAAGAGCCAGGATTTTCGAATGCAAATGTACAGTTTATTTTAAGGTGAAAATTGTGGCAAAATACCTGAAGCAGCATCACCATTGTGCCGTAGAGACGGCGTGAATTTTCACTTTGCCAGTTCGTTTCGTCACAAAATTTACCACAATAAGGAGGACTATAATAT